CCCCCGAAGGCCTCTTCTGTGGGGAGCTGAGGTCCCTCCTATCTAAGTGTCCCCAGGACTCCCCGAAGGCCTCTTCTGGCCACTCATAAGTCACTGTTCCAAATCACCCTTCAAAAGCCCCTCGACTGGTTGCAGAGGATTACTGAAGACTATAAAGTGGGATACTCTGGGACTGGCAAGATGGCTGTAAAAGCCTAGTGGCCTTGAATTCAAGCCCTGGGACTGTAACATGATGGCCGGCTTGTTGGGGTTTCTGTCCTGCCCGGTACCCCACAACCGGAAAGTCCCAAAGAAAATCACACACAAATCTCCATAAGTTATAAAACTGATTGGCCCATTAGCTCAGTCTTCCCATTAACTAATTCTTACATCTTACGGTAACCCATAATTCTTGTCTGTTTTTAGCCACCATGTGGCTCAGTACCTTTTCCAGCGGGACAGGTTACATCTTGCTTCTCTGTGGTCTGGGCAGGAATGGAGGAATGGGCTTCCTCCTTACTTGCCTTCTCCTGTTCTCATTGTATCACCTCTACTTCCTGTCTCGTTTTCCTGCCTATACTTCCTGCCTGGCCAATCAGAGTTTTATTTAAAACATGATTGACAGAATACAGACAATTCTCCCACACCATGGGACCCACACAGGTAGAAGAAGAGAACCACAAAGTTGTCTTCTGACCTCCACATGTGACACAGTGGCATGCATGCCTCCCATACATGGAATAATGAATCTTCCAAAATTAACTAAAACTGTAAGTGAGGTGTCCTGAGTTCTGCAGGGGTCTAAGCTGCTCACTGACATGTGCTTACCCTGAGCACATCCTTAAGAGTACCCAGTGATGTGGGGTTCCCCCTCTGTAAGCTGTGAATATCGTTGATTAATAAAGAAGCTGTTTTGGGCCTGTGCAGGGCAGAACAGAGCTAGGCAGGGGAAAACTAAACTGAATGCTGGTGAAAAAAGAAAGAAGGTAGAGTCAGGAAAAGCCATGTAGCCCCACCAGATACAGATGCAGGATGGAACTTTACCTGGTAAGCCACAGCCATATGGCGATTCACAGATTAATGGAGATGGGTTAGTTTAAAATGTAAGAGTTAGCCAGAAATATGCTTAAGCTATTGGCCGAACAGTATTGCAAATAGTATAGTTTCTGAGTGATTATTTTGAGTCAGGGCAGTCAGGAAATGAACAAGGAGCCTCTTGCTAGAACCCAAGTTGTGGGCTCAGAAATGTTAGGTGTTAGTGCAAGAGTTCGTAAGTGTCTTCCTTCTCAGGGCCCTGAGGTCATGACTGGAATCACCCGGGAGATGGCTCCTCCTTTGGATTCAGGATCTGGGTGCCTGAGATCTGCTGCCTGAGAGAGGTGTGTGGCTGCAGCTGAACATAGTCAGGTTGTTAGGGAGTGATGGGTACACTTGCCTCTTTCTTCCCTGTTCATGGGTCTTGTCCTCAGATGCAGCCCATTATAAATCAGAAACACAACGGGGACTGTGAGTGAGCAAGTGGGCTGCCTTGGCATCTTCTCTTGTTATTCCCTAGCTACCCTAGTGAAACAGCACTTCCGTGGCATTGGCATTACAGTGGGTAGCCTAAGTAGTCATGAGATGGCTTCAACACAGGGGATGCTCTCAGGTCTTCACAAACACTGATGTTTCCAATGAGGATGGGAGAGTCCTGAGATTTCCGCATCCACCGGGATCATGTAGGCCCTGGCCACTCTGCAAGACAGCTGTAGCTCAAGGGAGTGGATTGAGTTGAGTCAGCCCCGTAGTGAGTTTGTGGAAGAAGTGGCCTGAGACTCCAGTGAGGAACCTGTTGGAGCCACAGCACAGCAGCCATGCTCCAAATGAGGCAGGCTGGCATCAACTCCTTTAACAGATGTGGAGCAGGGACTCAGGAAGGTCAAGGAATTCATTGAAGGATCCCTGCCTCACCCCCACGCTATCAGAGTTCAGAGCCAGCACTTCTCTCTCTCTCTCTCTCTCTCTCTCTCTCTCTCTCTCACACACACACACACACACACACACACACACACACACCCATACTGCCTTTCGTTTGACAAAAGGTTTCTCAGCTTGGTGACAGGGTGAGAAAAGTGAAGAAGAGTCAGCAGGATCCTGGACACCAGAAGTTGTCAGCGTACAATGTATGTGGCCGAGGTTGAACGAGGCTGTGTGGGCTGGGAAGTAGCCTCACCTCTCTATGGTGCGACCTCTGTCAGGAGAGCGAGGGCAACAGTGGTCTCCAGCATGAGAGAGTCAAAGAAATCCATTCCTAAATGTCAGTAGCAATGACGCATGCTGACACCTATGCTGACGGTTCCATGCCCACTCTTGTAGTCTACAGTACATCCAGGAGGTCGCTGGCTGCCGCACTGTCCCTGTGGAAGTGGGCTCAAGGTACACGGATGAGGACTGGTCCCAGACCCTCATGACCGTCAACGAGTTCATCCACAAATACATCCTGAGTGAGGTATATGGGAGTTACTGTTTAACAAGTGGACGGTGCAGCTGAACTTAAAGGCAAATTTTATGTCATGTATATCTCACCATGATTTTTAAAACAGCTTCTAATGAAAGCAGCAGCCCGTGGCTGTGTGCCTGCCACACCTGCATTGTTCGCTTAAAGGAGAAGCTGCAGAGGCTGGTAGCTCATTCAGACAGGGCAGAGCTGCATCCCTGGCTCTAAATCTCCTGCCCTTCATCTCTGTCCTGCCTGGGAGATCATTGATCACATCAGGCCCTGGGTTGGGGAAGAGGGCTCCACAGGACAGTGGTGGTGGGACCAAGACAGGGGCTCAGCAACCAACTAAGCAATAAGGCCATCAAGAGGTACCCAACACAAACTAACCGATAGTCATCTCTATTTTCCTCCTATGGCTCAGGCAAAGGATGTTGGGTACCTTGCTCAGCACCAGCTATTCGACCAGGTAAGTCTGAGATCATGTTCCTGTCCTATAGCCCTCACCTGCTCCTCTCCTCCCAGGGAGCTGCTGTCTGGAGCGAGGGCTCTCTCTCATTACCATAGGCAGCAGCCAGGCAAGTTGAACCCCCAGGCTTGAGAAATTGAGTGTACTAAGTCTGGAGACCCAGTTTGGATCTCCCAGATGACCTATCAAAGACTGAAGGAGGAGTTTGGCTAAGCTGGAATAGGACCGGGTAGGAGAATATTCCCATTGAGAATCACCCTAGCACCAAAGTACAGAGATGTTATTTACAAGAGCCAGAGAGCCAGGTGGTAGAGGTCCTGAAGGCCACCCCAGGACTCTGGATTTAAAATGGACATGGTGGAGTCCTGGGCACTATAAGAAACAATGCATGTGACTGCACAGAGCGGTGCTGCAGCTTCCTTTCCCAGAGCATGCCCTGAAGAGCAGGTCACGAGGCCTGCCCCTCCTGAAGTAGCCCACCCAGCACTGGTAGCCCAGGAGCCTCTAGAAAACTGGATCAGCTGGCCCCAGGCTGGCCACAGCCGGTGTGCGTCCCCAACCACATGATGTGAGCTGGAGCTGAGGAGAGAGAGCAGACAGCTGCTAACACGGCTTCCTGGTTGGGGGTAAAGTGGAAAAATCAGGATACATACTTGTCTGAGTGCTGTGTAACCAATACAAGCAGAATAAATTATAAACAATAGGAATTTATCTAGTTCTAGAGTCTGGGACGTTCAGAGGGCCACATCTGATGAGGGTTATCTAGTATATCAGTGGCTACCAAAGGACAGACATGTGACAAGAGAATAGACAGGGTGGGACCTACTTGGTTTTATAGCAAGTCTGTTCCTGTGACACACAGTAATACAGCTGTCTGTCCCAGAGACAGAGCCCTCTAGCCAAGTCTAACTTCAACAGCACGCAGAAACCAGAAGCCAGCAGGGTTTCCCTCTCTTGCCTGCAGCTCCCATCTGCATATAAGGCCATCACTGTGGGAAAACAGATTCCGTGTGCCCCAGCAGCCAGATTGCCCTTGCATTTTCAGAGCTGCCTGTAGCTGGGTGTGGGGCACACATCTGGAATCTCAGCACTTGAAAGACATCAGAGGACCTTAAGTTCAAGGCTAACCTGAGCAGTACCGGGAATCCTCCCAGGCTATCTGGTTAAGATACTGAAACAATGGCAGGGAGCTCATCCTGGGGAAATTAGACTTCAGCTTCTTTCCTGCCCTGGCCCTTCCTGCTTCTCTGGGGCTTTGACTGAGGCACACAGTGGGAAGTCCATGTCAGTGGGGGAACATGCCATAGGCCGGGCCAGCACATTGAGCCACACTGGAAGTGACAATGGCATTATTCCCTGGCAGAAGCCATCCCCGAAACTTTGTATATCACCTCTCAGTCATAACCCTTTAGGTGGTTTCTTTGCCCAGCCCTATCCTGCCAGGAAACAAGTGCCATGGTTGCACAAGCCTGGGCTGTGAAAAGCCACGCCACTGTTAGAGATGCCCAGTCCCAGGGAGATCAGAATGAAAACTGTTCAAAGAGGGTGTAGGAGGCTGGGGAGGGGAAAGTAGGGGCAGAAGCAAAGGGCATCATGGAGGTATGCGGTACTCACTGCTCCTTCTGAGAGGAGCTGAGACCACAGCATGTCCCCTTCCAGCTGGTCAACCCACAGTGCTCTGGAAGTTTGTTCTGGTTACCAGGTCATTGTCCGGATCAAAGTCCAGCAGCCTGTGCTATCCCCATTACACCAGGTCGTCTTCAGCCTTGGCTATGTTGTTAGTGGATGTTGACTGCTGAGCAATTCTGCTCACTTATTAAAGACCCAAACCCTTCCTGACCACTGACTCGCTTCTGAGTGCCTGCCTTGTTCCCCTGGGGACTGGAAAGTGTTTGTACTTGGTCCTCAAGCTCTCTTTTCTGAACACTGTCCCCGAATGAATTTAGTAAGCAGCCTACTTTGCTGGTCTTTGTAGGAACTTATTTAAAATATACCAATTGTGGTTCTGATTTCTTCACAGGTAGTAACTTTTGAAGGGCATCCCCTCCAGATATCTGATAAATATCCAGTGCATTTGACTCTTGGTTGTTGTTTTTTGTTTTTGAAACAAGGTCTCACTATGTTACCCAGGCTGACCTCCAACTTGTCATACTCCTGCCTCAGCCTTCCAAATGCTGGAATTACAAGTTCAAAACCTGTGGTTGTTTTAGATTGTTGTTTTTAACTTAACACTTTCCTGGTGTGGTGACTCATGCCTTTAACTCCAGCAGAGGGGGGTGGAGTTCTGTGAGTTTGAGATCATTCTAGTTCCAGGCCAGCCAGAGCTACAAAGCAAGCTCATCTCAAAAACAAAATAAAACAAAACAAAAAGTCATTACTCTTTAATAAATAACAGAATGATTTTTTGGGGGGTAATAAAGCAACAATACCAGGTTTCTAAAGAAAATCTATGTATATAGAAACAAATATGAAGATTATAATTCTTATCTATTGTTTATATCGTAAGAGTTTTTTCATTAGAATATGAACTTAAACTGGGTAGGATGGCGCATACCTGCGATACCTGTACTTGGGAGGCTGGGGGAAGAAGAAGAGAAGCAGAGAGACTGTCTCAGAAACAACAACAGAGTGAATCAAGGAATGTATTTGGCTCTGTCAAGCAGTCAGACATCAGCTGGGTCCTGGCTGGCATACCTATTCCTGACTTCTGCTTCCTCCCACTACCCTCAGATCCCAGAGTTGAAACAGGACATCAGCATCCCCGATTACTGTTGCCTGGGCAACGGAGAAGAGGAAGAGATCACTATCAATGCCTGGTTTGGTCCCCAAGGAACCATCTCCCCATTGCATCATGACCCCCAGCAGAACTTCCTAGTCCAGGTAGGAGTTGATGCCAGACAGGGGCTGAGTAAGAAGCTTGTTGTGGTAAATACCCACAATCCCAGCACTTGGGAGGTTCAATGTCATCCTCAGCCACCTAGCCAGCTCAAGACCAGTCTGAGCTACAGGAGACCTGGTCTCAAAAGGGGATGGGGAGGAAAGGGAAGTGAAAGGGATTTAGACAGAGAAACAACAACAGCAAAATAGTCCTGAGGCCCTGGGGTAGGGCTTCTCCCAAATCAAGGCTCCACCCAAGTGGGATTTCTCTAGGACCAGGCAGGAAAGCTCTGGAAGGTGGGCCTGGCACATTCTAGCAGCCCTATGCCATCTCTGTTACCTGCCAGCCACCCTCACCCCCTCTGCTAGCTTGCACCTGTGGATTATGGGTGACAGGACAGGTCTCTTAGCCACTGTGATGTTCCAGAGACTCAAAGGCTGGTCAAGAGGGAAAGAGCACACACCCACTGCTCTAAGAACTTAGCACAGGCTGAGTTGCTAAGAAGACTAAGTTATGAAAGCATTCTTGCAGAGCATTGAGCCTGTATGGCAGCTCGGTAGCAGCTAAGAACCAGGGCCCATGAGCCCACTGCCTGGATGGCCACCAGCTGTCACCTTAGTAAACCTGGACAACACTTTGTCTCTTTGCCTCAGTTTCCTCCCAGCTGAAGAGGAAACTCCTCTAAGATTTAGCCAGGTCCACACTCAGTGCTTGGCTAAGCTTAGCTACATGCAGAACACTGATCTATAAGGTACTGATGGGAGCACTCTCAGAATGCCAGCATGTGGTGGGACGAGGCGGTGAGACATAAGCCACCAGAAAGGCCTGGAAGGATGGGTGTCCATGGGCCTGTAGTGAGCAGGACAGCTTTGCTGTCCTGAAGCTGACGGACCTCTTCTCTCCCAGGTATTAGGAAGGAAGTACATCCGGCTGTATTCCCCACAAGAGTCTGAAGCAGTGTACCCTCATGAGACACACCTTCTTCATAACACCAGCCAGGTGGGCACACGGGGAATCGGTGGCATGGGGCCTGCTGTGCCTAGAGACCAGCAGGTGATTTTCTTTTCTTTCTTCAGGTTGATGTGGAGAACCCCAACCTAGACAAGTTCCCCAAGTTTGCTGAGGCCCCATTCCTGTCCTGTATCCTCTCCCCAGGAGAGACCCTTTTTATACCTGCTAAATATTGGCATTATGTGCGTTCCCTGGACCTGAGTTTCTCAGTCAGCTTCTGGTGGTCATAGCCAGGGTCAGAGCGCAAAGGACCCACTGGGGAAATCCCTCACCCAATGCTGCCAGAGTCCACAAGTCCCACCCCCAGGTACTCTCTGTAGGACCTGTGTGCGGAGCTGCTGTGCGTACACAGGCCACACCCATTATGGATGCTTCTTTTCTTTGTAACTTACGTTTTTCAATAACGTAAATAAAAATATTTTCTAAATTAAAAAAAAATTTCTTCAACTAAATTTCCTGTGACAGGGCAGGCAAGCACAGAGGCATTGGGAAAGGAAGGGTGGGGAAGATGGGCCCTCGAAGGGAGACACCCTTGCCCATGGACTCTCTTAATGAGTGGTGCTGAAGGGAGCCAAATGTGTCACACAGAGGCTGGTTCAGAAAAGCAGAGACCAAGGGGCCTGCACAGTAGGTGGGGACTCTGGAGCCTTGGAAGGCTGGCAGAACAGGCTATAACTAAAAGTGTGTAGAGTGTGCAGGCTTAGCTCTGGATGGGCGGGCCTGGCTTGTTGGTGATGAAACCCATCCTTAACTAGCTTACATAAGACCTGTGCGTTCCTACAGCAGTCCAGGCCACGGTTCCCGACCTTCCCTCTTCCACCTCTCTCGTCTCCAGATGGTTTCACTGTTTTCCCTTTTCTGGAAGGGGGAAGAGGGCAGCTCTGACTTCATCTCCTTCTCCACATCTTGACCCCCAGTATCAACTGCTGGACCCTTCACCTCAGACCAAGGATCAGCAGTAAGGATGCTGGTGGCTAGGCCTGTGGCCTCAGGGATGGCTGATGATTGACAGGCCTAGTTTCCAGCTCCACCCCACCCCAATGACAAGAAGGTGACCAGGCCAAGGCATCTAATCTGGGAGTCTAGACCATCAGAGTATGCCCTTTTAGACAGCTAGCTTTGGCAGGGAGGGATGTACAGCAGGCTGAGGCAGCAGGGGCCTTAAAGGTTGGCATCCTTTTGGCTATTAGCAGTTGCGTACGTCATCTCACTTGGACAATTACTCCAGCAGTGGTGCTGCTCAGAACACTAGGCATAGAGTAGGAAAGCCAGCATTCCAGATGATGTACCCTAATGATGAGCCACTCATCCCCAGGAGGGTGGGGGATTCAAGCACTGGCACACTTCACTAGATGTGGGTCAGCTGTGTGACTGCAACTTCCTGCAGTGGCCCGGCCTGTACCCCTATGACAACCAGCAAGCTCAATACTATCCTGGGCCACTGTTGAGCAACACCAGATGAGGGACAGGGAGGATGGAATGGCTCTGCCTATGGGCAGGTCCCAAGGCTGCTGCTGGAACCTGCCTAGATGGCTGCCTTCTGCTCACTGGCAAGTATGAACTTTCAAGCTGTCTTGGAAACACAGCACTAGCAGCCCTGTCCTGGTTGGGGTTTTGTTTGTTTGGCTGGCTGTTTGGGTTTTTTTTTTTTGTTATCAACTTGACACAAGCTAGTCATCTAGGAAGAGGAATTTCAAGACAAATCTGTAGGGCATGTTCTTTTTGTTTTGTTGGTTTTTGCTTTGTTTTTTTGAGACAGGGTTTCTCTGTGGCTTTGGTGCTTGTCCTGGAACTCGCTCTGTTCCACCTGCCTCTGCAGGCTGAGTAAGGCACAGGGAGAGAACAAGCCAGTAAGCAGTACCCATCTATGGCCTCTGCTTCAGTTCCTGCCTCCAGTTCTCTCCTGCCCTTCATGATGGACTGGAAAGCTGTAAGGAGAAATAGTCTCTCCTCCCCAGGCTCCTTCTGTCCATGGTATTTATCAGAGCAACAGAAGTGAACTAGGACAGGCCCCAGGAGGGACGGCCAGGCCTGGGAAAGGGAAAGCAAGGGACAGCACAACTGGAGCAGTATCCGGGATGAGCGCAGGGTGAAGCCAACTGATCTTCGATGTCACAGTGTAGACCGAGACCTGGAAGTGGGAAGGCTGGGAGCTGGGAGCAGCAGGAGGTGATTCCCACCCGTGGCACGAGTGGGACCAGAGGGTAGTGGCAGAGAGGGCAGAACAGATTGTAAAGGACATCACAGGGTCTGGGATAGTGAGGGTTTGGGGTGGAGAGTATCAGTCCCTTTGAGATGCCTATATGACTGGCTGGTCCCATGGGAAAACGCTGGAGACAGGAGACAGGTGGCAGGAGGGCTGCTATCTCCAGAGCTCCTTGGTCACCCTCAGGGATGGCCTGAACTGTAACTGCAACACAGGACTGGGAGGTAGTTGGACATCCCAATGTAGGGACTGGAGAGCCACCATGTCCAGTGTAGTCCTAAGGACAGAGCTACAGGGATTGCCCCTGAGCTACACCTTGAAGGCTCTGAGGGTGCAGGACATCCTGGAACTGGGGACTCAAACTCCCCACCCAGAGACCCCAATTCTAAGCCCTGGCCTTTCTAGATGGGCTCTGCTTTCCTGCCAGAGTTCGGCAGAGGCAGAAAGTGGGGTGACCTGTGACATCACAGGAACCACTAACCTAGCCCCTCCAAAAGGAACCTGTGGCCACATCAGTCCTAATTTGGGCCAGTAGGGGTTCTGACATGTTGGGGCAAAATAGAAGCAGGCAGGGAACCACATATGGCAAGAGCTGATCAAGGAAGGGCACTGGGTACTATGGTGGTGAGTCCAGGGACCAAAGGGGAGGAGTTGAGAAAGGAAGGAAGGCAGAGGTAAGCAGGTGAGAACCACCACTGTGAGTCCTAATTCAATTCAATCATCCTAATTCAAATCAGGTCTCAGCAGGGTGTGGCATGTGACTGTCCAAGGAGAATGGAACTAGGACCAGAGCAGCTGCTAAGCTGGTGATGGAGTAGATTCTGGTTTGGACAGCAATTGTGGGTCAAACGGTAAGGGCTTTGAGGACAACCTCATATAGATTGCCAGGGACAAAGAGACTGGACTCTCAGGCTACTTGCTGAAATAACCAGTGGACAAAAGGCCCTATGGGAACAGCACAAGATGAGTCCAGCCCAGCCTACAGGGGCTACTACACTTGGGGCCAGAGTAAGGTCCTATTGTAGCTATGGACACTAAGGCCAGGGTCATGGACCAGAACCACCCAGAGCCAGACACAGAGACACCTGCCCAGGACTGGCCATGGCTCTGACCCAGTGCTGCCGTTCAGTTCACTTGCCTCAGTATGGGGAACCCAGCCCTACACAAGCTCAAGATTGCAGAGTACAGCAACCATTAGGAAACATTTACTAAAAATATGTTAAGAACAAATATCAACAAGGGAGGCAATTCATGTGCCAGGCCCCTGGTCTGAATGGGTCGTGAGGATCAGTCCAACAGCCAGAGCCATGCAGGACACAGCTAGTGCTGACGGGTCCGCAAGGACTTTCTGCTCGACCTGGAGATGCCAGCCTCCCTCTCCTTCTCAGGGTCGAAGACTTCTGTGTATAGAACAGCAGGGAGACACAGTAAGCAGCATGATCAATGGACTGATCACACAGAACACAGCTGATGGCTACAGCTACTTCCCATGCAGAGGACCTGTCCTGTCTGTAATTCATTGCTAACCCTTCTCCCCCTCAGCACATGAGCCAGGCAGCAAAGTTCACTGAGGGAGCTGGGAAATGGCTTTCCCTCTTCCTGGACAGGCTATGCGGCAAGCCTTTTTTGGGACTCTCACGAGCTTTGAGTTTTCCCGTGGATCTGGATCCCTTTAGAACAAGGCAGGCATGCAGCTTTCTCCTGTGCTTCAGCAGGTCACCAACACTGCCCTTCATGCTCGGAGTCCTCCTCAGTCCTCCCTCCATGGGTGCTCATGGTGCCCAGAACTGAGGTCCCACAGACAGCCCATTCACAAGGTCGCCCCCTCCCATGGGCACTCTGGGGTCATGTACCTGGTATGTGATGGGGCCAGTAGTCATTGCAGTGGGGGCAGCGTGGTTCAGAGGTGGACTGGAAGTACTTGGCCACACAAGGCAAATGCATCCTAATACCACAAGTCTCGCAGCTCTGACCCTGAAACAAGAAAGGCCGATGACCATGAAGCAAGGACATCCCTCAACTTCACAAACCTTCAGAAAGCTGCAAGAAAATGGCGAGCAGGCTGGAGAGTTTAAACTTCTAGAACCCAACTTAATGTTGGTAATAACCCCAAGCCCTACTGTAGGGCCTGCACTACAGAATTTTGAACAAGTGGACTTAGGTGGGAGACACTGAGAACCTCACTCCCCACCAGGCCTCTGTAGCTCCAGAGTCAGGCTCGCTGTTCAGAGATCCCCAGGTGGAAGGTACAGGCAGAGCTGTGCAGTAGGCTGAATGACAACATGTATCACACACTTAAGATCAACATAAGCATGGGGTAAGCCACAGGCTCCACCTCCCAGAGTCTGACCGTGGAAAGACCACAGACACCTGTGGATACACACTCAGAAGCTCAGCGTGGAACCTGCTTGCCCACGATAAAATGAAGCAAATATGGGCAACCAGCCTGGCTGAATGGTGGGAAAGCCTGCAGTGAGAAGCAGAATGGTGGGTGGGTACAGAGAGAGCCACCAAGACTTAAGGAACCCTCTCTACCAAAGTTATCAGCAACATCCAGCAGCACCTTGGGCTGGAGTGGAATGGCTAGGGAGAGAACCAGGGATGCATCAGCAAGGGAGTAGATCATGGCCTGTCCAGAAGGCGCCGACTGCTGGGGGACACAACAGTGGAGGCCCAGTGGGCTGAGCATCAGGACCCTACTCCCAGTGTCATCAGTACCTGGATGAGGAGGCCGTGGCAGATGTTGCATATCTTCACGGCATCCGGGTAGGTCTCTCGGATGAACTGCTCCATCTCCAAGATGGCCCGGCCATGCAAGGTGAACTCCCCCTCTTTCTGCGGGGACAAAACACACTCACACACTGGCTCAGTGCTGACTCCCCTGATCCCACAGTCCAGAGTGCAGGAGGACATGGTCTAATCACTGCAGGATGTCACCAATCCCGATCCCAGCCAACCAATGTCAGCAGTGTCTGTCCCCTTACCCAAACCTCAAGAGATGGTAATCAAGGTAGAGATGGAAAAGACAGCGGAGGTGAGGATCCTGGCAGCCACAGACCTCAGACCTTCCTGTCACCTTTATAGACTGATGACATCATGATCAGACAGTGGAGGTGAGGATCCTGTCACCCTCAGATCTCAGACCACACCTGCACTTTTACAGATGTGATGACCCCATCGTCACAGCTGACCCACAAATGAGTCACAGTCAGTGGCTTCAGCAAAGGAAGACAGAGACAAGTAAGAGAGGCAGTGTCCCAAAGGGTGGCCCAAGACAGCCCCAGTCAGGTACCCACTTCTCCTTCCCTTCCCACCACTGCTCCCACGTCACTATCATTTTCATGTCCTGGCATTTTACAAATGAAGCTGGAAGGAGCCCCCATATCAGTGTGGCAGAGCCTCCAAAGGAAGTCAGACCTCCTGGTCTCCATATCTGGTTACAGTTCATACCCAAGGAAGGCCAGGCAGCATGAACACATAGTTACATAACTGGAGCAAACACCACCGCCTATCAGGCAGAGGCAAGGCTGCTGGAGGGGCTTCATCACAGCCAACAATGAGCAATGTGGACTCAGTCACATTCACTACTATCCCTGCCTCTTTGATGGGATGCTGGAAGGGTCAGTGTAGTGTTTTGGTGGTGCTGGGCATGTGAGGTGGGCAAAGGGAAGCTGACAGCTCAGGCCACATAAGATGGCACTGCAGCAAGGGAGGCTGAGCATACCGCCCCAACAGTCCTCCTGCTGTCGTTGTCTTTCATAGGCAAGGGCTGACTTGAGTCTGGGACAGCTACACACCTCGATTCCCTCCCAACCCACCACACGGTCGGGGAGAGTGCTTGTGGAAGCTGGGCTCCTTTCTAAAGCAGAAGCTCAGAGATCCATTTATTATGATCTATTTGGCTTGGTGACCAAAGGAGCAAGTAGAGGTGGGCTAGAAGCAAGAAGGGGCAGTGGAAAGGGAGTTCAAAATTAGGAAGGCCTTTGTACACAGATCACTAGTGTCCTGAACAGTGGAGATTGAGCCTCCTCAGTGTGGTGGGAGCATGGCTGACTCTCAGGCTATTCTCAGTCCTGTGGCTATTATCTCCCAAAGATCCCAGATCCACAGTGGCGGCCCACTACTTGGCTAGCTCGCTGACCCACCTTACCCTGCTCTTGAGGCTGGACCCCACTAGAGGGAGCCAACCTGGCATGTGGGAAGATGTGGCTAGTCAGGTGCCACCTTCCAGTCCAGAACCTCCCAGTGGACCACACAGCTGATTGCACCTCAGAGCCAAGCTAGGGTCCCCAGGGAGGAAAAGTGCCCGTGAGCGATACATGTGGGAAGCCTTCTTAGCGGATGCAGGCTGCATTTGTAAGGCCAAAGATGAGTCTAAATAAAGTCCCTCTGATCAAGGAACCGGCTGCCCAGGAAGGCTCGTCAGGGACCAGCCAGCAACTCAGTCATCAGTCCTTCAGTGAATCCCCCACAGAACTCACAGCTGCCCTGCCCAGGTTGTCCAATCAGAAAACACAGCCAGAGACAGTGGAGGAGCCAGGAGGTACTCTCCCAACCGCAACCCCGACTGCCTGAGCCTACGCCTTCCTTCACCAGATACATAGTGAACAAGAACTCAGAGGTGCCCAGTGGCAGAGCTGAGGAGACTGAGGGGCTGAAGGGTGCCAAGGCAGGGGCAGCTGGCACACTGGTGTCTGCAGCACTCCCTCCACAGTAGCTCACAGAATTCTTCAAAACTCTCATCAAGCCCAAGTCACAGCTCAGCTTTCCCTGCAGAAGACAGAGCCAGCATCTCCAATCTGAAAGGAAGGCACCAGAAGGACGGGGCCTGGATGCCATGGATACCATGGTAGGCCTCAAAATGCTGGAGGTGGGAACTTTCCTTTCCGCAGGAAAGAGCTGGGCAAAGAGAACTGTCCACAGCGACAAACTTCCCTACCATCTCTCTGGAGCTTCATCTCTGCTCGCCTCGTCAGCCGCTCAGCAAGCATTTACTGAACACTGCAGGAAAGAGGCACATTCTGCAACAGGGCAATGAAGTCAGAACCCCTGCTCTCAAAAAGTTTGCCTCAAAGAGAGCACACCAAGAACATTCGGCCAGCCCAGAGAGGACAAGAGACTGAAACTGACTTCCTAAGGAAGAAGTGGGGGACAAGGGAGCACTGCCAGCAGATGTAAGCCAGGGCTCTTATGCAGGACAGAGTTGTGATCAGCAGGGCCAACCTGAGCCCAGGCCTGGGCTTATGTGAACAGCGGTGCCTTTTATGGAGGAAAACCCGAGGCATTTGCTTCACTCCAGTCATAAGGCCTCATCGCACAGCCGGCTTCTCTCGAAGACCCACCTCTTTGCACCTGTGGGTCAGTGTCCCAAGTAGAAGGGTGAAGAGCACTGGACCCCAGCAATGCCCCGCTGACAGTGCCGTCACAACGAGCACTCTAAAGGCCTCCTGCAGCAGGTGGCTTCACAAGGCACTCCACACTCACACTTGCCCCGTCCATGCCAGGGTTTGTTTCTCCCCAGGTACAGGAATGAAAGGGCAGTCCTCTGAAGCAGCCATTGGAGCCAGGCAGGGGTCAGGGCCAGGATCCTTCCAGCCTCCTGCCCTTTATCTCAGTTACTTTTTCATTGCTGTGACTGAGGGAACTTATAGAAGAAAGCCTTTGATTGGGAGCTACAGTTCTGAGGGTTAGAGACCATGACCATCATGGCAGACAGGTAGAGCACTGGCAGCTTACATCTTGATCCATAAGCAGGAGGCAGAGAGCACACTGGGGATGATGGGACTCTTTTGAAACCTCAAAGTGCCCCCACCCAGTGACACACCTCTTCCAACAAGACCACACCTCTTCATCTTTTCCAAACAGTTCCACTAGCTGGAGACCAAGCATTCAAACATATGAGCCGGCGGGGGCCTTTCTCACTCAAACCACCACACAATGCCTCTGTCTGCATCAGGGCTCGGAGGACCCCTTCAGCAACTCCAGCCTCTTCCATTTGTGGTTGCAGCACAAGACAGACCATGTCAGTGTCAGGGAACACAGGCACTCCTCATAGGTCACGGCCGACCTTCAGCAGAGAAGGGACCATCACAGATGGGTCTCGTTCAACTGACATCAGTTGGATATAAATATGAACGCAGAAGAAAAGCTGTTGGGCACCCTCAGTGACCCAGGTGGAAGGCCATCAGGGTACCTCAATCAGCCACTTGCTCTGCACGAACTTCTGCAACACCTGCTCCGCCTCTTTCTTCCTCATCTTTTTGCCTTTGAGTTGATCAACCAGGTTCAAAATGTTTGTAGAAGAAGCAAAGCCAGTCTCTGAGTCAACGATCAGTTCCAGCTGCAAGACAAAGAGGTGTCTCATTCATCTACATCTATGGGATAGCAAACACAGTACCTAAGCCACCAGCCAGTCCTGGCGGGGATGAATTAAAACAGCCCAACACATGCACACCACTGACAGTCCTTCAGGAAGATAATTTATAATATACATCAGTAGACATGTCCAGTCCAACTGATGACATGCCAGAATAGGGCTGTTGCCCTGCTCCCATCTCCCTGAAGGAGAAAAATGACTGGGCACCATAAGGCAGCACCTCTCCTCACTCAGAGGCGGAGGAGTAGAGCCAGTGTGGGTTAGAAGGGGCTACAAGGACTTGGGCAGGCTGGGCATGTTCCCTAAGACTTCTATCTGTGGCAGGACAGGTATCCTGTGTCCTATGTATGCACAGGTGTGCCCCAGCCTTATTCCCCACACCTTTGATGACAGCCCAGGATCATTATGAAACCATAAAACTAGAAAGTTTACCTGTCCTGAAGGGCTCAGCCAAGGTGGAGCCAAAGAAGGGCACTCCTTTCTTACCTTCTCAGTAACTGCTATATACTTCCAGGACAGAACCACTGTCTTAGCCATGTCTAACAGATGGGCTGAGCAAACTGCTCCAAAGCTTGGAAGAACAGGACCCTAGCACGTCAACATTCAGTGAGCACCTCATTAAAGTGTAGGTTTGGGCTCAGCATTCCATGCATTTCAACAAGCATGATTTATTTGGCAGGGGATTTAAGGTCTGTTACTCCCTGTGAGATCTAGGAAGCTGTGAAGCATGACAGTGGCCTCCGCAACTGCAGCTCCTCTTCTCCCATTAGAAGCACAGCCAAGGTAGCAGTGAGAACTGCTGTACTCACAGCCTTCCTAAACAGGTCCAGCTCATTCTCTGCAAAATCCGTGGCCATTTTGGAAACTGAAGTTGTAGCAAGATTCACCTAAAAATAAACCACACAGGAATAAACCACACAGGCTGTGTCTCCATCACAGAGTTGACCTCCACTGCCTCTTTCTCCTCCCTCTCTCAGAAGAGTGTGTCAGGAATGCTACCTGTAGAGCCCTCTGCTCCAGTTTCCCAAAGTGCCACTAGAGGGCACTTCCTCACACATACCAGAGCATAGATGGGTCTCCCGTCGTCTTCCGTGACTCCTTTCTTTATTTCAATATACAAGGACTCCAAGACACTGTTGATATTGTTGATGAAGTCCTCCAGCTTATCTACGGTAGCATTTCCTGGAAATATGGGGGGAGGGAGAGTGGATTCATCAGAAAGCACACAGCCTGTTTCAATTGCTCTGGCACCTGACCTCACTGGCAGCCCAGCCAGAAATGTTTGAGCTCTCTTGGGCTAATGCCAATGCTGTGTGGTTTCTTTCTTCCCGGAGTGCTCAAGAGATAAGCTGAGACAGAGAGGGTGTAATAAGGCAGAAAGGCTCCAGAGATTACTATCTCAGACCACTGAGACTGTGGCCTTCCTTCCTCTGTCCCCAGCCAGTGGCCCTCATTCAAGGAAGCCATCCAAGGCCATACCTGCAGGCCCTGGGCCAGCCCAGGCCTAAGTACAGAGCCACAGAAGGGTAAGAGAGGCTCACAGACAGACCCATGGCATAAGAAGTCCTATTCTGAGGCATATTCCTTGCAGTCATTGCCCAAACCTCCTCCCACTGACCCTGCTAGGGCCCTCCGAGCACAGGCAGGGCTGGAGTGAGCTGTGGGAGCCTGGTTCTAGCAGAAGTTCATGCTATGCCACCAGCAGGAGGCCACAGCCAGAGACCTTCTCAAGAGCTCTGAGTCTGAGGAGGGGCGCAAATCCAGAACCACTATTGTGACAAACTCAGGTGAACAGACACCAATTATCTGGTGAGGAAGGACAGGAGAGGCTGCAAAGGGAGGGACACATCTTACACAGAGAAGGGAGATGGCCAGCTCTGTATGCTGGCATTACACTTCCACGATGTGATACTTTCAAACTAAGTATTACTGTTTTCATTTATTACAATTTCAAGCTGGGTAGTGGTAGCACATGCCTTTAATCCCAGCACTCAGGAGGCAGAGGCAGACGGATCTCCGTGAGTTGGAGGCCAGCCCATTCTACAAGTGAATTCCAGTACAGTTATAACTGTTACATAGTGAAATCTTGTCTTGAAAAACAACAAAGTCTGCTTGGTGTGATGGTGCACACCTTAATTCCCAGCACTCAGGAGGCAGACGTAGGCAGATCTCTGAAGCCACCCTGGTCTACATAGTTCCAGGCCAACCAGGGCTGCACTGAGAAATCCTGTCTCTAAAAGAGCAAAACAAAACAAAATTTAAAATAAAAAAAAACAGAAAACATGCCACCATATATGTTTAAAACCATAACAGAAACAACAGAATCGCACACAAGGGAAGGGCTCAGTTGCTCTCCTACTCTGTGTAGATGACTAAGGCTAGCACTAGGAAGGAAACTCAGAAAGGAGTCATCACAGGGACATAAGCTGTGGCCATTTGGCTTCCTACAGAAAGTAGGTATTTCCAATCTTGTGTAATGAAAATGAAGATAGTTTAAAAACCAAAAGGTCATATTGGTAGCAGAGGACATGCCACATTAAGGAACTAGGCTCACTGAGGTCACCAAAGGGACAGGTTGTGCGGCAACAGTAACATACATGTGTTTGCGTTGGTTTTCTTTTTCTTCCTTTTGAATAAATACAAGTTAAATGAAAAATCAATAGTACCTAATAGGTGGAAAACAGTGATGCAGATGGAAGCCAAGACTTAGAACTGACAGTCTCACCTCCCACTGCTGTCTCCCACCATGAGAGCCTCCCTGGGCATGAGATGGCTCTCCACATAGCCCAGGCCCATTGCAGGTTGAGGGCCCTTTCTGACCTCCACGCACCATCTCTGGAAGACTGTGGAAGACACTGACTCTGGCAAGGGAGTCGGGTGCTTGAGAGCCACTGTATTAGAAACAGCACACCTTCCAGGGAAGAATCACTTCACATGCTTAGACATGAAGGACAAGTGTGTCTGGCCTGGCTGAAGGAAGAGCTGGCCTTGAGCAGAAGGTTTCACTAACTTATATACACCATGGATTTATGCATTTCACATACTCTGTCATCCTTAAGTCTCCTTCAGGCTCCAGCCCCAAGTCACACTTCAGACAATTTAAACAGAGACAGGCGATCGCAAGTCTGTCTACTTGGAAAGATGGGAGAAAAAAAAATACTACCAGAAATAGCTCTTAAGCACACCAGTGTTATTCTTTTCCAATAGTTGTTGCTCAGATCTATCTTGCCCACCTGGCAGAATAGTGAGTACTTTTCCTGCTAAAAGCACAGGGACTTAATGGTGACCAGAACTATTAATGATTGTGACCCTGTGCCCTTGAGTTGCTATTAGAAGTACATCTTTGGGGATAGGCCTAATGCCTGGTTCTATATCAGTGCTGTGTCCTTTGTTATGAGAATGGAGCGTAAAGGCTGGTTAATCCTGGTGAACAAACATTCATACTCTAGCATCCTAAATTTTCCTCATCTCCAGCAAGCCTGGTTGGCAGACCGCTTACCTCTGGGGTATTTTGGAGGCCGAGCTCCTTTAGCTAAGTTCCACTTGTGTGACTTAAGGTCTCCTCAGCAAATCGACTAGTGAGTCTCTTATAACATCAGTCCTATTACTTTGAGTTTCTTCTACATCACCATCTCTCGCTGGGTAAATAACAATAACCCTTGTAAACAGGATCAGCCCTGTTCACCCAATGTGACATAAGGGACAAGTCTCACCTCCCTCTGAAAGGGACAATTCACATTTTCCACCAAAGAAATACCTCAAGGTGTCATTCAGAAAAATGTAGTCTGTGGGCAGATCAAAGGCACTCTAGCAAACTGTACTTTCCAAGTACCCTGGGGGTGAGATGAGATCCAACCCTCTTTTCACACAATCCTCCAAAGGGGCCACGGCCCTGTGGCTGCCTCCACTGATGACCTTGTCTTCAACAGGTCCCCACACCCTTACTGACTCCAAACTGGCTTTGCTATTTGGTGGCAACAGGGCCAGTAGCAGAGATCTGTTTCTCTGAGCTCATCTTCCCTTTCATCTCTGAAGGCCAATACATCTTTTTACCTCCGACCCTCTGTCAACTACTCCAGCTGGCCTACACAGCTCTCAGCAGGGTAGGTGTGGCCTACACACCCTCTCTTCTCCATAACCTCCCGGCCAGGCTCAACCTCGATGAGAGTAGCCAGAGTTCCCAGCTCTGCCCTCCATCGTTCTCAAGCAGTACTTCAGCATGGTCTCTGCTTAACACATCTGGCCACCGAGGAGTCACCTGCACCTGATAATGTCTGCCTAACTCAGCCAATCAAGACCACAGCTTCCTCTCTTCTTCAATCTCTCTTTCTCTATCCCATGGCTTGGGTGGGAGTAATTCTAGGGACTTCTATTCAGAAAAGCAGATACAGGAAGTCCCTGAGAAGCCAAGAGCTTAAGTCAGCCAGAAGGGGACCCGAAAACCAATGGATGTGCAGGGACAAAGGCCAGCTGGTGCTGCTGCCGGCCTAGCAGCCACTAGGACAGGGAAGCCCACTCTGACGTGTGTTTTGTGCCTGGTCCCAAGCCTGGCCCAGGATGCCAAGCAGCCCCGTGTCCTCCCAGAAACCTCCCAGCACATTCCATTCTAATCTAGCCAGTACTGGGGTCTCTCTCGTGCTACCAAAACTGAGGATACTGTCACTCGGTGCCAGGACTACACAGGATGGTGCTTCCCACCCTTGCAGTCTTTGAACACTGAATGATCACTGGTCTACCCCTATTGCTCCAAGAAGTCTTAGGAAGCTACAGTCTGCAAGCCTGCAAAGTCACAGGAGATAGCATGTGGCCCCATGTGACTCTAAGGCAACTATTTCCAGTCATGAGATCCTAGTGTGAAGGATTTAAAGTGTTGATTATCATTACTCACACCAAACCTCTCTTCAGCATCTTGAACCTCCTGGAAAAAAAATGGTACATACTTCAAACACCAAGGGCCACGCAAGCTAATCAGAGAGGCTGCTTCCCGATGGCAACAGTGTGGAGCGCCGAGCTACAAGGAGAGCAGGCTCTGGGCCTAACCAGGAGCTCTCTCCTTACCTGTCATGCAGACACCTGCTTTTCTTCTAGGTTGTGATTATGTAGCTGTGATGTACCTTACATCCTGCTGGGCATCGGGCACTGGTGGGGTGCACTTGGCATTACAACCACCCTGCCAGGTGCAATATTAATGTCCTCTTTATACACTGGCTGCCTCGAGAGTAAACAACGTGTTCAGAGTTTCCCTAACTTGGACATGGAACTGGCCCGCCAGACTCCAGATCCTCAGCCCCGGGCACTAAGCCATACACCCTCAGTATAGAAAATCTGAGGCCTTCCCATGCCAGCCCCCAGCCCCATCATATCACTTCAGTCACAAAACAGGGCTCTGCCAGAAGAAGGGAGTGGAGCACAAAAACTAGAGTACCCCAGATGAAGTCACCAGAGGGCTCCTAAGTCAGAGAGGATGAGCTGGAAAGTAAGTGGCTGTCACCAGCATGTCAAGTCCAGCCCCCTTCCTTTGGTATAATCCTTGTCTGATCCCACACTAGGATGGGTTGCAGAAAGGCAAAGATCCAAGCGGGGTTGGCTCTGCTGCTTCTCTATTAGGGCATGCCTGACAGAGAAGCAATTAGAACCCAGGGCCCAGCTTTATGGGGTGCTGTCGCCCTAAACAAAGCAGTTCTCTCTGACTCGAGAGTTTAGTCCACTGAGATCACTTTTCCCCGGCTTAGATTGATTTTTCCCTTTTTTATAATTGAGTTTAGTCTGCCTTTCCTGATGTACTTCCTGCTAAATCAGAGCCTCCTCCCAAGGCTATGGGATTACAGTTCACTGCACACCGTACCCTAACAGCAGGCGGCCAGGAAGTCTGCTGCCCTAACCACTGGCCAACAAGTATTTTTGTTTTAAATGAGGCACCAAAGATAGAAAATGCTATTTTTGGGTAGAGAAAATAAGAGTAAAAATCAGCCCCTGGGGACCAAACCATTGTGAGCCAACTTGTCCTGTAACAGCAGGAAGGCCCTGCTGAGTTTACCAGCGAGCCAGGCCCTGCCACAGATCCGAGTGCTGGGCAAAGCTGTCTGAGAGTTCAGACTCTTCAGCTGGAGCAGTGGTTCTCAACCTTCCTGATGCAGAGACCCTCTAATATAGTACCTCAACCATAAAATTATTCCGCTGCT